TAATAAAAACGACGGTTTAAAGTAAAAACCGTCGTCGTATGCCTGAAAACGCGTCGATATCCAGTTTATTTTCAAGATCCCAAAACCCTATTAAGAACACAACATAGACATGAAACCAAGCAAGAAACCAACATATACATGAAACCAACATATACTAAGCATGAAAACAATAAATCCATTCCCAATTCAACATAACAGAGAGTGATTAAAAGATCCGACAAAATGAAATCCATTCCATATTCAACATAACAGAGAGTGATCAAGAAAACATTAAACAGAAAATCCATGAACCCATACCTCCAACAACATTATTAACAGATCGCAAAACATATACCTAAAACCCTTTAACAAAACACGTAATATATCATTCAATGAATTTACAAGGGGAAGAGAGGGTTTGTACTTACAGGTTGGCAGAGCTCACAGATTATGACCAAATTGGATTTGACACAGCCTGGCCCAACTTTGAATTAGAGATGAAGTGAGAGAGCGAAATGTTATGTTGCGCGAAATCAGAAAATTTTAGGGTTCAGGGTTAGAAGTATAAAAATAAGAGCCAAATCTGAAAATTTTAGGTCCCGCGAATATTTTAAGAAAGCGCGCTTTTTAAAACATCGACCGAAAATACAAGCGTCGTTAAAATTTAACATTAAAGATGACGCTTATTACATTAAGGACGTCGTGGTAAAACTATGTACCACGCAAAATCAAAAAGGCGTTAAAACTATGAAAAACCACGGCGGGGTTAAGTAACTAACGACGTTGTAAACAATAATAAACGACTAACAGGTAAACAAAACGTCGTTTAAAAAAGAAACCACGTCGGATTTTTCACCATACGACGTAAACTCAATATTCCACGACTCAATCACCGTCGTTAAAAGTAATACCCTAAACTTTAAAACCATAAATTATATATGTGTAAAATTTAATTTTATAAAATTGTTTATGGTTTTACATCCTAATAAATAACAAGCATAAACCCTAAACCCCAAAAATTATACTTTATCCATAAACCCTAATAAATAACAACCCTAAACCCCAAACCCTAAACCCTAAACCCTAAACCATCAAACTATATAAGTGATGCTATGACTCATAAAAACAATTTTATTTTGGTTGGTCATTTTAAACTTTCATTACACAAACTGCATTTTTTTGGGGTTTAGGGGGAAGAAAATATATCAATGACTTCATAGGAGTTGAAGTTGAATTTTTTGAATTTATTTTAAATTTATTTTTAAAATTTTGAATTAAAAATAATAAAATATTCTTATATCAACAACAAACCACGGCGGGGTTAAGTAACTAACGACGTGTAAAAAATAATAAACGACTAACAGGTAAACAAAACGTCGTTTAAAAAAGAAACCACGTCGGATTTTTCACCATACGACGTAAACTCAATATTCCACGACTCAATCACCGTCGTTAAAAGTAATACCCTAAACTTTAAAACCATAAATTATATATGTGTAAAATTTAATTTTATAAAATTGTTTATGGTTTTACATCCTAATAAATAACAAGCATAAACCCTAAACCCCAAAAATTATACTTTATCCATAAACCCTAATAAATAACAACCCTAAACCCCAAACCCTAAAACCTAAACCCTAAACCATCAAACTATATAAGTGATGCTATGACTCATAAAAACAATTTTATTTTGGTTGGTCATTTTAAACTTTCATTACACAAACTGCATTTTTTTGGGGTTTAGGGGGAAGAAAATATATCAATGACTTCATAGGAGTTGAAGTTGAATTTTTTGAATTTATTTTAAATTTATTTTTAAAATTTTGAATTAAAAATAATAAAATATTCTTATATCAACAACAAACCACGGCGGGGTTAAGTAACTAACGACGTTGTAAACAATAATAAACGACTAACAGGTAAACAAAACGTCGTTTAAAAAAGAAACCACGTCGGATTTTTCACCATACGACGTAAACTCAATATTCCACGACTCAATCACCGTCGTTAAAAGTAATACCCTAAACTTTAAAACCATAAATTATATTTGTAAAATTTAATTTTATAAAATTGTTTATGGTTTTACATCCTAATAAATAACAAGCATAAACCCTAAACCCCAAAAATTATACTTTATCCATAAACCCTAATAAATAACAACCCTAAACCCCAAACCCTAAAACCTAAACCCTAAACCATCAAACTATATAAGTGATGCTATGACTCATAAAAACAATTTTATTTTGGTTGGTCATTTTAAACTTTCATTACACAAACTGCATTTTTTTGGGGTTTAGGGGGAAGAAAATATATCAATGACTTCATAGGAGTTGAAGTTGAATTTTTTGAATTTATTTTAAATTTATTTTTAAAATTTTGAATTAAAAATAATAAAATATTCTTATATCAACAACAAACCACGGCGGGGTTAAGTAACTAACGACGTTGTAAACAATAATAAACGACTAACAGGTAAACAAAACGTCGTTTAAAAAAGAAACCACGTCGTATTTTTCACCATACGACGTAAACTCAATATTCCACGACTCAATCACCGTCGTTAAAAGTAATACCCTAAACTTTAAAACCATAAATTATATATTTGTAAAATTAATTTATAAAATTGTTTATGGTTTTACATCCTAATAAATAACAAGCATAAACCCTAAACCCCAAAATTATACTTTATCCATAAACCCTAATAAATAACAACCCTAAACCCCAAACCCTAAAACCCTAAACCCTAAACCATCAAACTATATAAGTGATGCTATGACTCATAAAAACAATTTTATTTTGGTTGGTCATTTTAAACTTTCATTACACAAACTGCATTTTTTTGGGGTTTAGGGGGAAGAAAATATATCAATGACTTCATAGGAGTTGAAGTTGAATTTTTTGAATTTATTTTAAATTTATTTTTAAAATTTTGAATTAAAAATAATAAAATATTCTTATATCAACAACAAACCACGGCGGGGTTAAGTAACTAACGACGTTGTAAACAATAATAAACGACTAACAGGTAAACAAAACGTCGTTTAAAAAAGAAACCACGTCGTATTTTTCACCATACGACGTAAACTCAATATTCCACGACTCAATCACCGTCGTTAAAAGTAATACCCTAAACTTTAAAACCATAAATTATATATTTGTAAAATTTAATTTTATAAAATTGTTTATGGTTTTACATCCTAATAAATAACAAGCATAAACCCTAAACCCCAAAAATTATACTTTATCCATAAACCCTAATAAATAACAACCCTAAACCCCAAACCCTAAAACCTAAACCCTAAACCATCAAACTATATAAGTGATGCTATGACTCATAAAAACAATTTTATTTTGGTTGGTCATTTTAAACTTTCATTACACAAACTGCATTTTTTTGGGGTTTAGGGGGAAGAAAATATATCAATGACTTCATAGGAGTTGAAGTTGAATTTTTTGAATTTATTTTAAATTTATTTTTAAAATTTTGAATTAAAAATAATAAAATATTCTTATATCAACAACAAACCACGGCGGGGTTAAGTAACTAACGACGTTGTAAACAATAATAAACGACTAACAGGTAAACAAAACGTCGTTTAAAAAAGAAACCACGTCGGATTTTTCACCATACGACGTAAACTCAATATTCCACGACTCAATCACCGTCGTTAAAAGTAATACCCTAAACTTTAAAACCATAAATTATATATTTGTAAAATTTAATTTTATAAAATTGTTTATGGTTTTACATCCTAATAAATAACAAGCATAAACCCTAAACCCCAAAAATTATACTTTATCCATAAACCCTAATAAATAACAACCCTAAACCCCAAACCCTAAAACCTAAACCCTAAACCATCAAACTATATAAGTGATGCTATGACTCATAAAAACAATTTTATTTTGGTTGGTCATTTTAAACTTTCATTACACAAACTGCATTTTTTTGGGGTTTAGGGGGAAGAAAATATATCAATGACTTCATAGGAGTTGAAGTTGAATTTTTTGAATTTATTTTAAATTTATTTTTAAAATTTTGAATTAAAAATAATAAAATATTCTTATATCAACAACAAACCACGGCGGGGTTAAGTAACTAACGACGTTGTAAAACAATAATAAACGACTAACAGGTAAACAAAACGTCGTTTAAAAAAGAAACCACGTCGGATTTTTCACCATACGACGTAAACTCAATATTCCACGACTCAATCACCGTCGTTAAAAGTAATACCCTAAACTTTAAAACCATAAATTATATATGTGTAAAATTTAATTTTATAAAATTGTTTATGGTTTTACATCCTAATAAATAACAAGCATAAACCCTAAACCCCAAAAATTATACTTTATCCATAAACCCTAATAAATAACAACCCTAAACCCCAAACCCTAAAACCTAAACCCTAAACCATCAAACTATATAAGTGATGCTATGACTCATAAAAACAATTTTATTTTGGTTGGTCATTTTAAACTTTCATTACACAAACTGCATTTTTTTGGGGTTTAGGGGGAAGAAAATATATCAATGACTTCATAGGAGTTGAAGTTGAATTTTTTGAATTTATTTTAAATTTATTTTTAAAATTTTGAATTAAAAATAATAAAATATTCTTATATCAACAACAAACCACGGCGGGGTTAAGTAACTAACGACGTTGTAAACAATAATAAACGACTAACAGGTAAACAAAACGTCGTTTAAAAAAGAAACCACGTCGGATTTTTCACCATACGACGTAAACTCAATATTCCACGACTCAATCACCGTCGTTAAAAGTAATACCCTAAACTTTAAAACCATAAATTATATATGTGTAAAATATGAAAACCTCAGCAAATTGTTTTTTCTTTTATAATATGAAAACCTCAGCAAATTGTTTTTTCTTTTATAATATGAAAACCTCTGCAAATTTTCAGGGAAAAAAAGGATGTATATTATAGACAAAATTTGTACATTATATATTATAGACAAAATTAGTACATATAAAAATATCAAGTGTTCCAAAAATCCTCTAATCCATATGAAGGCAAACAAACTCTGCCCATTCTTTCCTGACTTCATCAATGGCTGCTTGGGGGTATGGCGCTTGATCTTTTCCCTTGGCAAACTGCAATCCATAAACAACGATTATTAAGCTTTACAAAATAAAAAGAAATTCAGTCACAGACGACGTTTTTTTTATAACCGACGTAGTCTATCGATTCAACGACGGTAATTTTAAATGACCGTCGTTGATAATACAAAAACCAAATAAAATGTTTCTGAAAATTTTTTTCTTACCTTCTTCTCAAACTCCAAGGAAGGATCCATGATGATGTCCCTCATGAAGCGCATGACATAATACCCGCATTCGACACTGCTGGGTTGCTTTGGTGTGCCTGGCAGAGTTTTCCAAATTGGTGCTTTACGGCCTGGTCTGCCTATGTGGGAATTATAAATTTTTAAAGCACTGTTCACGATGTTTTTGCCCTCCTCATCCACCACACGATTTCCAGGCAGAGGATCCAGAAAATAGACGGTTTCCCTCTTTGCCCTCACAATCAGCAAGACCCAATGACGGCTGCACAAAAATAAAATAAAAAACGACGGTTATTTATAAAAACCGACGTATTATATAGTTTCACACGACGTAAGAACTTAATCATCGACGTGATTATAAATTTATCACGACGAGAATTAACTACCGACGTGGTTAGTTGTTTCAAACGATGGTATAAATAAATAACCGACGTGGTTAGATGTTTCAAACGACACAGAATTAGTTAAACAGTTTTATAAGTGAAAATCATACAAACAAAATCCATTTAAGGAGACTAACCCTGGATTGTAAGGCATCATGAAAATCTGTTCACCATCTGTTTTCTGAAGTCGACTGGCTACAATTCGTGATCTGTCAGTTAGTGACCCAGCGTTGGCACTAACTTGAGCAGGGTCGATAAAGCCAACCATGCTGCACATATTTGCTTCTCTCAAAAGATCATATAAGCACCTAAATATATAAAACAAACGACGGTTATTTATACACAAACGACGTATTATATAATTTCACACGACGAACTGAAATAGAAACAGACGTGATAACTAATTTATCACGACGGTAAAAAAGAACGACGTGGTTAGTGATTTAAAACGACGCAATAATTAAACAACCGACGTCTTATGATATAATGTTTGATATTTGATTAGGACAAACCTCATATATACTGCAACCACAGTAGCCCCAATTTCTTCCATGCCTGCAAATTGTGTAATATCTTCATGCAAGACGAAGGTACTTCGATCTGCACCAAACACCTCCTTCTCAATGTTGAAGGTCATGATCTTCCCCTGTGGCTTTAGTGTAGTTTCCACATAACCACAAAGGGATTGTAAGGAAGATGGCACCTCCACATTTGAATAATCGAGTACTTCATCACCCTGTTTAAAGAAATAAAGCAAAATAAATTGTTGTGGTAATTCATTAAAAACGACGGCTTAAATTAAACAACGTCGTCTGATTATAATTTAAACGACGGTAATTAAATACCGTCGTTTTAGATTATTTATTACGTCGTAGAAAATAAATTCCGACGTCTAATGTTAAAACAAACGACGGTTTAAAGAAAAATATTGACGTCTGAAATGTGAAAAACAAATTAAAAAGGCAAAGTTATGAGAATATACCTCCTCGTCATGCTTTTCTTCATCTTGTTTTTCTTCTTTCTTCTCTTCAACATTTGTGTCTTCCTCTTTGCCTTCATCTTTATTCTCTTTTTCTTCTTCCTTCTTCCCTTCATCAATTGTTTCTCCCATCTTCTGTTCATCTTTATTTTCTTCTTCTTCTCTTCATCTTGATTATCTAAAGCCCCAGATTTCTGTTTTAAATAATAAAGAAATATATATATAAGACAGATTGTACAGAGAGTAAAAAAATTAAACCAAAACGTCGTGGTAAGGCATAACATAAGACGGTATGTAAGAATTATGGACGTCTTAAAATTATTAAACGATGGTAAATAATAAACGTCGTGGTAATTTTATATCACGTCGTTGAGGACAAAAACCGTCGTCTAAAAGCCACAAAGTACGACGTCTAATGGCGTGTAAAACAAGTAAACTAAATACGACGTGGTATTTAAATAAACACGACGGGTTATTTATAAAATCGTCGTGGTATGGTTTTAAAACGACGGGTTTATTCATAATAACGACGTCTAATGTTAAAAAAAAACAGGGAATTCAAAGTTCAGTTATGTTACCGTTTGTTCTTGCTGTTCCCCATTTCTGGCAGTATCATCCTCTAAATGTAGGGATCTCACTTCAGCCCCAGAACAGCTTGCTTTATCAGACATTGGATTCATGGGACTTGTTTTCGGTTTAAGCATGCTTGGATCAAAATTGGGGATGAGGTGGGAAAGCTGACTTAGTAAATGTTCCCTCTCAGCCTCTACTAATTGTTTGGTTCTAGCTTCCATCTTCTTAGTCTCTTCTTGAAGGACAATTCTTACACTTTCCTTCAATTGATCAGCAAACTTCACCCTTTGTGGTCTAGGTAAATTGAAGAATTGCCTAGGGGAAATCCCAGCACCTACCCCTCTTACTCTCCCTGGATGCTCGGGACCCAAAGCCATGGTCAACACATCATTACTGCCAGTTATACTCAGACTGCCTTCAGCCACTTGTTTTTGCAAGTCATCCTAAAACAAAGACAAAAAAAAAGTCAGCACAAGAAAATACACGACGGTTATTTATAAACAAACGACGCATTATATAATTTCACACGACGGACCAATATAGAAATCGACGTTATAATATCTTTATAACGACGTTAATTAAAACCGACGTGGTTAGTTTCTTAAAACGACGCAATAAATAAACCACCGACGTCTTATGCTGTAATTACAGAAAACAGAGTTGTGATTTCAGATTTAGATATTTCACGACGTTTTTGAAAACATTTCGACGTAGTAATAACATTAACACGACGGAAAACATTAACCACCGACGTCTTATGCTATAATTACAGAAAACAGAGTTGTGATTCCAGATTTATATCTTTCACGACGTTTTTAAAATATTTCGACGTAGTAAAATCATTCACACGACGGAAAAATATAATATAAGACGTAGTAAGAATTCTACACAGTAATATAAAAATTTAAAACAGAGTGTGTAGGCTTACAATTAATTTTGCTTTCTCTGCCACCTTTGGATCCGGGATGTTACCAAGTTTGTCCTGTCTAGCTTTCTTCCATAAGGTAGATCGATCAATTTCTACCCCAGGCATGGTTTCCTCCAATTGATCCTCCAAACCAGCATATCCTTTTCGAGACAATCGATGATTGTACTCAAGTTTCTCCCTAATCTGTGCATGTTGAGAATGCACAGACTCAAAGTCTTTGGATAACCTTGAAGCTACAAAGGCATCCCATTCTGCTTTCTCTATGAATTTATATACTGCAGGGGGTTGGCTTAATTTCTCCCTCTCATTGATGTATGGAAGGATATAATGCCTCGTCAGTGTAGACTTGAAATCCTTCCATTTCTTGGCAGCAGAAGATAACACCGAGGTCTTGCCCCCTTGACCTACCACAAAAGCCATGTCAACGGCTTCCCAAATCTGCTCCTTTATATCATTGGGGATGTCAGCCCATTTCTTGTCCACAAGTGGGACTCTGGAGCGTGCCAACACACCAATGTAGGACTGCATCTCAGTATGTGCAGGGCCACATCCTTTCCCCCTTTTATTGTACTCAACAACTGGCTTGATTTTCTGCAATTTTCTCTTCACAACACGAGGCATTGTGCTCATACCTCGACCTGACTTTGAATCCTCAGAAATTGTTGTCGTGCTGCTTGGTTCTTTCTCAGCAGATGAAACAAACTTCATCTTCTTCAAGGGCTTGTCTTGAGGAGTTACCATTCCAAGCTCCTTACCTCCATTTTTTTTGGAGCCAGAGTACTTACTTTGGTCTTGAGAAACCATGGTTACAGAATAAACAAACCTGCAAGTGAAAATATTTCGTGAAAAAATTAGAACACAAACGACGGTTATTTATAAACTACGACGTATGATAAGATTTTACACGACGTAATAACATAACATCAGACGTAATAAATGATTAAAGAAGAACAATATAAATGTTTAAACAACGACGAAAAAATATTAAATAAGACGTAATAAGAACTTATTACGTCGATATTTACACGACGTCGTGATATTCATATTAACACGGCGTAAATATTAATATAACGTCGTGTTATGTATATTCACACGACGTGAATAATAAGCTACCGTCGTATTTATAAGAAACCAAAAACATTTTTCTTTCTTTGTGAATGTTTGATTGCAGGTTTCATTTCTCTGAAACATGGTTTTTGTTTTTCCTAATTTGATAAAATACAAAGAAAAAAAGCTTTCTCATCTTTTTATAGACGACGGTATCTTATTATAACGTCGTGGTATGAACATTCACACGGCGTCAATAATAAGATACCGTCGTCTATATAAGATACCAAACCCTACTTTCTTTGTCTCTGTATTTTATCATATTAGGAAAAACGAAAACCATGGTTCAGAGAAATCAAACCTGCAACTAAACAAGCAAATAAAAAATTGAATGTCATTTTAAAAACAACTTAGATCAATTTTAAGACGACGCTAGGACGACTGACGAACCGTCGTGGTCTACGTATTTAACCACGTAAATAAAAAGCTACCGTCGTCTTATTTAGTTGAGTTAGTTATGTTCAAAGTTCAATCTTTCCCTCTCTGTCTGTGTATTTTATCAAACTTGGAAAGAAAAAAATGATTTTCGCCAGAAAAAAGGTAAAAAGATTTTCAAAACAAAAACAGTATGAGCATGCAATATAGCAACAAAAATAGTGAGAAATGAAAGCTTACCTTTTGCGTGCAATGAAAGCTTTCTCTCGGATTTTGGTGTTTAAGTTCAGAGGCGACGATGAAGACAAGAGGAAGACGATGAGATACTCTGACAGTGCTCTGACAAGGAAAAAAGACGAAAAGTTTTCTCTGGGAGATTGAAATGTTTTCTCGGGTTTGGAAACAGTGCATGTGTAAGTCAGGTAGACGAAAAGTTGTATATGTATACAAACCGTTTCATAGTAATAAGACGGCGGTTTACATAGAACGACGACGTATTAATAGACAAACTACGACGCTAATTTGAACTTATGACGTGGTACATAAATACGACCGTAGTGTTGTAGGTACCGCCGTAGTAAACTCCTAAATAAAAGTCGATAACTCAATATCTCGCGTCATGGTAGAAATATTTAACACGACGGTTGTTTTAAAGTTACGACGTTTATTTTTATAATATACGTCGTTTTATTGTAATATACCGACGTGGATAACACTAAACTAAAACGACGTATTATTTTTCCGACGACGTGGATTCGTTTTTAAACGTCGTTATGTGTAATATAACCGACGTGGATTTTATTTTTTTATTATAAATATAATTCTTTTCCCCTTTTTCTTATAGTGTATTTTTCAAAAACAGTGCCTTATAGATATAGTTTTTTTCCCGAGGAAATTAATGTTCTAGAATTTGTAAAGTTTCTTTTCTAGGTGACTGATTTAAATCAAATAAAAATATAAAACAACGACTGTTTTTGTTATACCGTCGTCGTTTCTTGTCGTTTTAAGTAAGAATAAAACGACGTAATATATTTGTTACCGACGAGAATTGTTTTTTTTAAACGTCGTTATGTGTAATATAACCGACGTGGATTTGGTTTTTTAATTATAAATAGGGTTTTTTTCCACGGGTTCTTTCAGTTTTAGTATTCGATTAGGGTTTCAACTTCTTCTTGCCCCTTTCTCTGTCTCACCTCATCTCTTGGGAAGTTTTAGGAGTCAATTGTTTGGATGTGAATGTGTGTGTGCGTTTGTGTAGATACACAAACGCACATACATCATTCACTTCCAAAAAATTGTCTCTCTGATTGCAAATCTGTGGCTGCCGTCATGAAATTTTAGGAGGCAATTGTTTGGATGTGAATGTGTGTGTGCGTTTGTGTAGATACACAAACGCACACACATCATTCACTTCCAAAAAATTGTCTCTCTGATTGCAAATCTGTGGCTGCCGTCGTGAAATTTTAGGAGGCAATTGTTTGGATGTTGATGTGTGCGTGCGTTTGTGTAGATACACAAACGCACACATATCATCAACTTCCAAAAAATTGTCTCTCTGATTGCAAATCTGAGGCTGCCGTCGTCAAATTTCAGAGGCAATTTTTTGGATGTTAATGTGTATGTGCGTTTGTGTATCTCAAAGACACAAATACACATACATCATTAACCTCTAAAATATTGTCTTTCTGGTAAGATTATAATGAGCAACAGAGTTCCATCTTGTAAGATTTCCTAACCCTTGTGATCTCAGAATAATCTGATTATGTCGGCGGTTTTCTATATAAACCGTCGTGGTTATTTCAATTCTTGTCGTTAGGTAGATCTACCGACGTAGGATAACAAAATCGAAGAAATAAATTGTTAAAAAAAATTCTTATTCAGACGACGGTTTAAATATAATTTATGACGTATAAAGTGGACAAATACGACGTTAAATTCTATAATACGTCGTTATATGAAAACCCCAACTTGGTAAGATTGAAAGATGTCGTCGTAGAAATACGAGAAAGACGTCGTTATATTTACCTTTGCCGTAGTTGTACATTAATTTAATACGGCGGTATTTTGTATTTTACCGCCGTGGATTTATTTGTAATTATACGTCGCCTTATACGAAAACTTGGTCGTGTTAATTTCTGGGTAAAAACGACGGCTTTTTTGTGAAACCGTCGTCTTTACTTTCTACGTCGGTCGGTTCATAACTTCCGCCGTTATTTGTTGGCTATGATTTTACCTCTTGAAAATCCTATTTCAATAAGACGTCGGTTTTTTAATTAAGTACGTCGTGTTTTTGGAACAGCCATTTGAAACTCCATTTTTTAGTTGTCTAATGTGTTATTACACGGCGGTTTTATAAAACCGTCGTCTTTTAAAAAACAACGACGGTTTTCACGTAGACCGTCGTGTTTTTGTGGTCGTCTTTTTCACTTTTTGTAGTAGTGTTGGTAACCATTTTCTATGCCAAATGTAACAAATTTTGTGGCCATTTTTCAACCTGTGACTAGGTGTATCATTGCCGCATATTGGACAAGCTTTATATCCTTTAACAACACAACCAGATAAGTTCCCATAGGCAAGGAAATCATTAACTGTCCACAATAATACACATCTGAGTGTAAAGTATTTTCCTATATGTGTATCATACACTCCTCTAATCCCATCCCACAGAGATTTTAAATCATCAATCAAAGGCTCTAAGTAGACGTCTATATCATTTCCAGGCTGTTTAAGACCGAAAATCAATAAGGTCAACATCACGAACTTCCGTTTCATGCATAGCCATGATGGGAGATTATATGTAACTAAAATAACTGGCCAAAAACTATATCTCCTACTTAAAGAACTGTGGGGATTGAATCCATCATATGAGAGAGCCAATCTCAAGTTTCTCGGCTCTTTACCAACCTCGGGCCATTTATCATCAACAAGTTTCCAAGACGGGGAATCCGCTGGATGAGACATTGACCGTCAACTGATTTTCTAGCAGCATGCCAAGTCAAACTCTTAGCTGTCTTATGTGATTGAAACATCATTTTAAACCTTGGAATTGGAGGAAAATACCACACCACGTTCGCTTGCACACCCTCTTTCAAGATTGAATCTTTGCCTTCCTTCCACCTTGAGACACCACAAGTAGGACAATTAGTTGAATCTTTATAATCCTTCCTATACAAGATGCAGTCATTGGGACATGCGTGGATTTTCTCATAACTCATCCCTAAAGCAGACAATGTCTTTTTGGCCTCATACATAGAGGAAGGTAGTGTATTTCCTTATGGAAGCAAATCTCCTTGAAGTATCAATAATTATGTAAAACAAACATCACTCATCCCATGTTTTGCTTTTAAATTATATAACTTCACCAAAGCCGACAACATCATGTACTTACTGCTACCAGGGTACAAGGGTTGATCTCCATCCCCAATCACATTGGCAAACTCATAAGGATCAAATCCAATATCGCCTAAATCATTATCATCCATCCCTAATTCTTCAGAAACAAAACTGAACCCACATTGCTCATCCTCTTCCACATTTCTACTAGCATTAGTAGTCCATTCCAAAGGTTCTCCGTGCCATGTCCAAATCTTATAGTTTTGGTCAATTCCATTAATTATAAGTGGTCCCTTATATTTCCAACTCCAAACAATCGAATATTCTCACATTTAACACATGGACAATGAATATGAGTTGGATTTTTGAATTTTGTACTTCCACACCTAACTCATATGCCTTCGATCTTCTATCCTCATGCATCCATGACTTATCCATCTCACACACTATAAAATACATATAATAAAGTGAAAAGACCAGTAATGAAACACTACTATATTGATAGAGAAGAGAACAAAGTGGGAAAAATGAAAAAAAAATTGCACAATAATCAGACGACGGTTTGTACAAAATAATCGTCGCGTAACATATTAAGAGGACGGTATGTCTATTTACCGTCGTTTTTAAGCAAACAACAAGATATCTATATTCTTTTTAACAGGGCTGGGTTATGGTCGACTAACAATGACGGCAGTAGTAAATAAAAAGCCGACGTATAATAAAAATTTAAACCAACCGTCGTCGTGGTTTACAAAAAACCAAAGCCTAATTCTTCCATCCCCATTCCATTTCAAAGAACCCTTAATAGAATGCAAACATCAAAACATAAAAGAACCCATATATAGCTCCCAATCAAGAACCCATAGCTCCCAAAACATAAAAGAACCCATATTAAGAAACCAAAGCTGAGAGAATATACAAACTAACAAATATTTAGAGAGATCTAAGAGAATATTGAGAGAGAGCTGAGAGAATATACTTACATGGATATTGAGAGAGAGAGCTGAGAGAAAAATATCAAATGCTTGAGAGAGCTCTGAGAATATACCCAATGCTTTGAGAGAGAGCTCAGAGAAAATACCCAATGCTTTGAGAGAGAGCGAAAATTTTAAGACAAATTTACATTGAAGAGAGAGAAGGAAATACTTTAGGGTTAAACGGCGTTGTATTATAACGACGGTTATTTTACAGTTCCTACGTTCTATTAGGTTTTGACGTCGCCCATACAAAAATTGACGTATAAAATATTAAAAAATTAGCTTTGGTGTGCGTTTCCTGGGATTTGAACTCGCGTATTGACCAAAAAGAGCGAGAGCAAACCGGTGTCGTTTCAATTAAACCAAAACCTAAACCCTAAACCCTAAATTTTACAATAATTATAAAAAAAATACACAAGTATGAGAAAAATGAACCGAAAATTGCTATGGACTCCTTACAACAATGCCTTCTATATTATTAGGCTCAAATCTATTTTAAATAATTTTCAATTTTATGACCACCAATGGATCACATAAACCTTAGGGTTATGTAATGGAAAGTATAATGACTATTGTGCTTTGTCTCTAAATCATTTTGACTTTTGTTATTACTTCTAATTTTGAAATCTAAAATTAAAATTTTCAGGCATGTAGGGGATAGATATTGTCTCAATGAGTGCATAGAATTTATCATTTTATTTTTTGGATTTTTTATGAATATTAGTAATTAAATACAAATAAAAATAATTTTAAAAGATTTAGGGGAGATAAAATATTCTAATGAGTGCATAGTAGTTGTCAGTTTTTTTTATGGAATTTGGTTTGAAATTATTACGAATATTAGGAATAGAATATAAAAGTCATACAAAAATTGAATACAAAAGTACATAACCGACGTTGCATCAGTTTACAACGACGTTAAGTGATGAATAACGTCGTCCTAGTAAACATTAAATGTTGCAATGTAATAACCGACGTGTTTAGTCATTTACAACGTCTATTACTATTCTGATGATGACGTTGTTTATGGATACAACGTCAACATTTAACCTGTAATGGACGCTGTATGTCTCTACAAATTTTTTCGTAGATTTCAGTTTTTTAAAGAAACCGACGTGTATATCAACCTTAAATGTCGGTTTTGAGAAATGCCGTCAATGTTTTGTTTCCCGCTATAACAAGACTATATATAAGAGACGTGTAAAGATGAATGAGACGTCGGATTTTGGGAATTAATTTACATTTTTATGATTTATTTACATTTTAGTTCATTTTAACACATTTATATTTATACAAAAAAAATAAAATTAGAAACAACAATATATTTCATTTGATTTTTTTTATGAATGTTCAAATAATTACTAAAAATATGTTTATATACATTGTCAAAAAATTAAAATAAACCTAAATATTTTTAAATAAATGTATATTATTAATTATTGTTTTGTAATTGCTTGTTCACAAATTCTGCCCATTCCAGCTTGACTTCGTCAATATGTTCTTGAATATACACAACTGGTTCTTTTCTCTTGTCAAACTGCAAATAAAGAACAAAAACCGACGTGTTACAAGTAATAAAATGACGGTTTTGAAAGCAAACGTCGTGGTATTAAAATAAAGAAATTATATATTAAATTTTACCTTCTTCTCAAAGGCTGGGGCTGGATCATGAATTATATCTCTCATGAAACGCATCACGTAATAGCGACACTCTACATTTGTTGGTTGTCTAGGAGTGCCTTGTAGATTTTTCCATATGGGTGATTTACGTGATGATTGTTTCCCTGTGTGAGAGTTATACATTTTGATTGAACTGTATAAAGAAAACAAAAAGTGTTAATGACAAAACTAAAAATAAGCATCAAAATTATTAACCGTCTTGGTAAATAATTGAAGACGACGGTTTTGTAAAACAAATGACGTTGTATTTTATATACAACGTCAGAAAATAAGAACCGTCGTGTTTCATTATAACGTCGGTGAAGAAGAAAAACGACGTATAACCAAAGTTAATTTTAAATGAAAGTTTAACAGAAAAAATTAAAAAGCCTAAAATTAAAAACAAAATCGACGTGGTATTTCAATTATGACGACAGTTTCAAGAAAGTACTGACGTTGTAAATGATTCAAAACGTTGGTTATAATATACCGTCGTTGTGTTTTCACTACAACGTCTGTATTGGAAAAAGCCGTCGTATCAATCAAATGCAGATATAAAAATCATAGGTTTTCATTAAGAAACTTATGTATTCACTATATTTCTCATGTCCTCGTCAACAGAGTGGTTTGGCAATGAATTCATGTAATAGACAGTCTCCTTAGCTGGTCTCACAATTATTAACACCCAATGACCCCTACACAAAATTATCCACATATATTAAATATACTACAAAAAAAATATTACAAGGAACCAATTAGTGTAGAAGGGGACTAACCTTGGATTATAAGGCACCAAGTAAAATTGATCCCCATCTGCCTTTTTCAGGCTTTCTGATAGATGTTTTGAGCGGTGAGATAACGTTCTAGATTGAGAGCTGACTTGTCCAGGGTCCACGAGGCCAACAAGTTTTACCATATTTGCCATTTTTAAATAGTCAAATAGGTACCTAATTAAATATATGAAATTCAATTAAATGAGATTTTAATTTAAAAGAAAGAAAATGTAAAAAAAATAAATTGGATTTCTAGAATTACCTCATGTATACTGCAATCACTGTGACTCCAATCTCAACCATGGAAGCAAATTGTAAAATGCCTTCACTCAAGAGCCAGATATCATGATCAGTGCCAAACATTTCCTCAGGCATGTGAACTGTAATGGTCTCTTTAGCAGGCTTCAACTTGGTCTCAACATATTGGCATAGGGCTAATAGAGGAGCTAGCATGTCAAGCTTTGAGAGATCCTGTAACAAGAAATAAATAAAGAAATAAAGTTAGTGTGTTTATGAAGTAAAATAAACGACTCCAACAAATCAACAAAACTGACGTGGTATATAATATCAACGACGGTTTCTAGAACATACTGACGGGGTAAGGGTTATAGACGACGGTAAATACATAACAGTCGTTGTGTAAAAGTTATAACGTCGCTACACAATAGAAAGGTCGTCTAGGTTAAACTAGACAATGGGTTTTAAAATAAATACCGACGTCTATTTAAAATTTAAAATTCAGAAAAAGCAAATGTAAGAGATTTTACCGTTTGATCTTGACGGTTTTCAGCAGCATCAGCATCAGCATCATTCATGGGATTGTCTTCATCCAATTCAGGGGCTCTCACATAAGAGCAGCTTGCTTTGTTAGACATTGGATTTTTTGGGCTTTGCTCTTGAGGAATTGGAGGAATTGGAGTAATTGGTGTAGTTGGTGTAGTTGGAATTTTACTGAGCATGTTGGGATCAAAGTTGGGAATTAGTTGACTGAATTGTTTCAACATAATTTCCCTCTCTGCTCTGACTGCCTCCATAACACTTTCCTTTGCCCTGGCCTCCATCTTTTCGGTTTCCTCATTCACTGCTGCCATAACACTTTCCTTCAATTTGTCAGCAAATTATACTCTCTGCTGTCTAGGCAAATTGAAGAATTGAGTTGGGGAAACCCCAACTCCAACACCTCTGACCCTCCCAGCATGCTCAGGGGTTCCCAAAGCCAATGTCAAAACATCGTTGCTCCCAGAGGCAGTCAGAGTGCCCTCAGGGACTTGTTTTTTCAAATCATCCTAAAAGTGAGAGAGAGAATGTCAGTGCGTGAACATATAGTAAAACTGAAAAATAATAAATTAATAAAAATATTAACCGACGTGGTAAAGAGGTTATAACGATGGTTTATTTAAAAACAGACGCAGAAAATAATTTAATACGTCGTCCCAAAACTACTGTCGTTTTGTATATATTAAAACGTCGGTCCATGAAATAACTGTCGTTTATTTGACATCATAGATAAAAACACTTAACCAAAATATTCACTGATCCAGAAATAGTCTACAAACCAATTGCAGAGAAATAGAGAGGGAGAGAGAGTGTGTGTGCTTGTGAATATCAAGAAAGTTCAAAATTTAATTTAAAAAACCTTATACAGAAACACAAAACTGTCGTTGTAATTCAATGAAGACGTCGGTTTTATAAAAATACTGACGTTATTTATAGATAAAACACTTAACCAAAATATTCACTGATCCAGAAATAGTCTACAAACCAATTGCAGAGAAATAGAGAGGGAGAGAGAGTGTGTGTGCTTGTGAATATCAAGAAAGTTCAAAATTTAATTTAAAAAACCTTATACAGAAACACAAAACTGTCGTTGTAATTCAATGAAGACGTCGGTTTTATAAAAATACTGACGTTATTTATTTTTTAAAGGGAGGTGATTAAAAACTGTCGTGGGGTTTCGTGTCTAACAACGGTTGATAAAAAGACCGACGTCTGGATGAAAAATAAAACCTCTGTTTTACAAGTTTAGAACAGAGTCAGTGAAACTTATGATTAATTTTGTCTTTTCTGTAACCTTTGGATCATGGATGTTTCCCTGTTTATCTTCTCTTGCCTTCTTCCATAGCAGAGATCGATCGATTTCTTCACCGAGCATGGTTTCTTCCAATTGATCATCCAAACCAACGTACCCTTTTCGAGACAACCTATGGTTGTACTCGCATTTCTCCCTTCTTTGTGACTGCTCAGAATGCATAGCCTCAAAATCTGGGGATAACCTTGAAGCTACAAAGGCATCCCATTATGATTTCTCTATGAAGTTATAAAGCTGAGGGGGCTCTTTTAACTTCTCCTTCTCATTTGCGAATGGAAGGATAAACTGCCTAGTTAAGGTAGACTTAAAATCCTTCCATTTTTTGGCGGCAGACGACATCACCATCTTCTTGCCCACCTTCCCCAACAACATAAGCCATTTGAACAGCTTCCCAAATCTGCTCCTTCAGGTCCTTGGGCAATTTAGTCCATTTCTTGTCCACAAGAGGGACTCTGGTGCATGCCAAAACACCAATGTAACTTTGCATCTCAATAACAACTTTGCCATGTGGTTTGCCACTTTTATTGTACTCAACCACAGGCTTAATCTTCTGGATTTTCCTCTTCACAACACGGCTCATTGTGTTGATACCGCAAGTCGATTTCGTCACTTCATCAAATGTCGAAGAGCTTGGGTCTTTCTCGGAGGATGAAGTAAATCTCATATTCTTTGCAGGATTGCTTGGAACAGATTTGGATTCAGCCATTTGTGCCTTTGAAATTGCAATGTCCTTGCCTTGACCTTTTGCACCTTGAGCTCCTTACTTTGAGATTTTGAAACCATGTTTAGAGAGAAGTACAAACTGCAAGAAAAACAACGACGATTAGGTAAAATACAGACGTAAAATGAAAGTTCAGACGACGGCAATCAAGTAGAACCATCGTGCTAATCTATAGAAACGTGGATGTTCTAATAGACGTGGTCATTAACTTAAGACAACGGTAATTCAATACAACCGTCGTCGTATTATAAGTTCATAAATAAAAAAACCGCCCAGTTTTTTCTCTCCCATGTTCGTTTCAAATAAGATGACGGTTTTCTTTTTCAAACGACATATTTATCAACACACCACGTCGGTTATTATGAACAGTCGTGCTATTAAAATAGCACGAATTTAATTACCGTCGTGGTGTATCAACAAAAACGTCAAATTCGATAAAAACCCGTCGCCCTCACATGAACTGTGAGTGGCAACAGTGAAAGATTTGGCCTTTTCATACTCTAGTCTTGTTTCAAACATCAGTGCGACTCGTTCTTTAAAAAAAAAACTTCAAATGAAAGGGAAAGTGAAGAAAAAAAAAACGGAGTGAGAAAATACCTTTGGCTTGCAAGAAAGTTTTCTTCGGAATAAAATTTTGGAGACGAAGCTGAGGAAGAACGTAAAAGGGAGGGAAATGAGAATCAGAAACGCAGCTTTTCGGAAATGAGAGGGAAACTGAGAGAAAACTGAAAATTTTAGAGAGAACGTAAAAGTTTAGGTCAGGTGACCAAAAAGTTTATATAGTGTCCCAAAGATAACGACAACGACAGTAATCATAAAAACCGCCCTAGTAGTACTTACCACGACATTAAAATAACATCAACCGACGTGGTTAGTAAAAAACATTTTGACTTTTTGTATTCCGAAAACGACGTGGTTAGTTGGGCGCTACAAGTCAAAAGTTTACTTTTAAATAAGTAATATTATAAGTTACCACGTTGTTTGTCTATATTAAACTGACGTGGTTTTCAAAAACCTCTTTGACTTAATTCTAATAACCGACGTTGTTTGTATGTGTAATACGTCCTACTTTTTCCAGATTCGACGTTGTTTCGTTATTAAACGGTGTTATTTTAAATGTAACCGACGTGGATATGAAATTTTTTTTATAAATGGAGTTTTTTTCCACGATTTCTTTCAGTTTCAGTTTTCAATTAGGGTTCCAATTTCTTCTTGACCTTGGCTCTGTCTCACCTCTTAGGAGGCAATTGTTTGGATGTTGGTGTGTATGTATGTTTGTGTATCTGATTCACAAACATACACACATCACCAACATTCAAAAAATTGTCTCTCTGAATGCATATTTGTGGCTGCCGTCATCAAATTTTAGTGGCAATTGTTTGGATGTTGATGTGTGTGTGCATTTGTGTAGATACACAAACACACAAACATCATCAACTTCCAAAAATTGTCTTTCTAAATGCAAGTTTGTGGATGCCTTCGTCAAATTTTAGAGGCAAATTTTTGGATGTTGATGTGTATGTGCCTTCGTGTGTTTCAAAGACACGAAGACACATACATCATCAACCTCTAAAATATTGCCTTTCTGTGGTCCGATTATGATGAGGAACAGAGTTCCATCTGGTAAGATTTCGTAACTCTTGGGATCTCAGATCTAATTATGTAGCGATTTTCTATATAAACCGTCGTGGTTATTCTCAATTCTTGACATTAAGTTGATCTATAGACAAGTAGGAAGTAACAAAAAAATAATAAAAAAAAAAAAAAAAATTTATTTAAAAAAAAAATAAAAAAATTAAGATGACGGTTTAGATATAAGGTCCGACATATAACGTGAATAAATACGACGGTAATTTTAATTTCACGATGTATATCTTGGGATCTCAGAAAAATATATTCTGTCGGCGGTTTTCTATATAAACCGTCATGGTTATTCTCAATTCTTGTCATTAAGTTGGTTCTGTCGTAGGATACCAAAATCCAAGAAATAAATAGTAAAAAATATACAAATTTAGTTATATACCCAATCTTAGACATGGTCTTATAAAGAAACCCTATACCATTTAAAAAATTATAAACACACCCAAAAAAAACCCAAAATCACAGCTGTCAATTTTTTTAAAATTAAATAGCTATTTTTTAGTTTATTTGTGTGTGTAAAATACCTATATTGCCCTTGTACTATGGATTTGAGAGAGAAAAATCAAATCTGCCCAGATCTGCCAAAAAACAGATCTGTCCAAATCTGCCAAGAAACCAATTTTCTCCTTTCTTGCTGGTGTTTTTATCGATGTTGGAGCAAAAGGAGCTTCAATTGAAGCTCAATCTCAGGTCCAGCTATATTCTTCATCTCTCATCTACAATTTCATATTTCACCTTCGATTTCTTGTTCTAAAACGCTGTTTATATTTTTTTTTTTTTTTTTGATTGTTTGGAACCTGAATGAACCTCGATTAGAGGCTCTTAGCTCTACTCCTCTTTCACCACGTCATTGTCGTCATCATCATCATCTTTATTGTGTCGTCGTCGTTTGGTTTGGACTTGAGATTTTGATTTTTTGCTTCAATTATGTGTCTCTCTTCAGATTTTAGTTGATTTTCGAAATGTATTTTAAGCTTTGATGATTGATTTATCCATTGTTACTATTTCAGTTATGGATCTCATTTTTGTTTAACAATGTACTTCTACGACAGAGTATTAACAATGTCCTTTTATGACATAATAGTATTAACAATATGGGCTCGGCTTGTTTTGAGTTGGTCTAGTTTGTTCTTTCTTCTTTTCTTGGTGGACATGTATTAGAAATAAACAACAAGACAAACATTAATCAACATGACAGTAAACTAGCAGTGTTATTACCTAGACTGGACCATACAGGGGTAGATATGCATTAATAGTAGGATATCATAGGAAATTAGCCGTGTTATTACCCTAGACTGGAACATTACATGGGTAGACATGCATTAGAAATAGGATGTCATAGGAACTAATAGTGTTATTACCTTAGAAATAGGATGCCATAGGAAATTAGTGTGTTATTACCCTAGACTGGAATATTATACGGGGTAGACATGCATTAGAAATAGGATGTCATATGAAACTAGCAGTGTTATTACCCTAGACTGGAACATTACAGCCATTAATCAACATGACAGTAAACTAGCAGTGTTATTACCCGAGATTGGAACATTATAGCCATTAATCAATATGACAGTAAACTAGCAATGTTATTACCTTGGACTAGAACATTACAAAATAACAGTGTTATTACCCTATACTGGAACATACATAGGTAGACATGCATAGAAATAGGATGTCATAAAAAACTACCAGTGTTATTACCTTAAACTGGAACATTATAGGGGTAAATATGAATTAGAAATGGATATCATAGGAAACTAGTAGTGTTATTACCCTAGACTGGAACATTACATGGGTAGACATGCATTAGAAATAAGATGTCATGGAAAACTAGCAGTGTTATTACCCTAAACTAGAACATTACAGCCATTAATCAACATGATAGTAAACTAGCAGTATTATTACCATAGACTGGAACATTACAGCCATTAATCAACATGACAATAAAGGTGTGGAACATTACAATCATTAATCAATATGACACGTTATAAAACTATGGTTTCAAGACATTTTGTTTGTAATGAATTGTTTGAGTTTTTTTTTATAAGATTGGGCTGGGCTTGTTTTGGGTCCTATTTAAGTTTTTTTTGTTGGGCTTCTTTTAAGTTGATCAATGGCAGTCATGTAATTTATAGGAACTTCAACACTAATTTCTTATGTAGTAAATGAATTTGGGTGTGTTTCTAAAGTGCATTCCATGTGGGGTTTTTTTTTTTTTTAATTTCAGCCCTTATTTTGGATATATTAGTGAAGCTCCCTAAAAAATAATGTAATTAAGACGACCGTTATGTATAAGGGTAGACGTATAAAGTAAATATACGACGGTAATTTTAACTTCACGACGTAGTAAATATTATTAACGGCGTTAATTGAACAAACCAACGTGGTTAGAGTTAAAGATACCGTGTATATGGAAACATGAAATAAGTCGATAAATTATATTTTACGTCGTTGTACATGTATTTAAGACGGTGGTATTTTGTAATATACTCGTGGATTCTTTTGAAATTATGCGACGCTGGATACGAAAACTTGGTGTGGTTATTGAGGAAAAAAAACGGAGCTGTTTCTTTAAACCGTCGTCTTTACTTTCTACGTCGGTTGATTCATACATTCTGCCGTTGTTTGTGGGCTCCAAGTTTACTTGAAGAAAACCTTTTTCAAATAAGACGTCGCTTTTTAAATAGGTGTGTCGTGTTTTAAAACAACATTGGATTCCCCATTTTTTAGGTGTTTAATATATTCTCACACGGCGGGTTTATAAAACCATGTCTTTTCAAACACACAACGAGAGGTCGTC